CCTCTGTTGGGGTTTCCATAGCAACTTACACTTACACTTGGCATCCGGCCACCGCTGCAACTCTGCGAGGAGCTGGCCAAGCCGAGCCTCTGCGGGCGTGCGGGGTGGCGGGCGCGGGGGAGGGGCGGGGCGGGGTCGTAGGGTGCGGATCTTCGGGTGACCGCCACCGCAGTCCCAGCCCCAAAGAGCGTGCACCGGCCATTCCAAACACTCTCCGGGTCTCTTCCACATCCATTGGGAGGGAAGAGCTACTTTCTTATCTTGCCCTTTTTCTGTCTGTCCTGTTAGCAATCGCTTCGTCAGAAATTTCACTTAGAGATCTTTTGAGAATTGCCAACTGTGCACTTAGCCCCAACCCGGCAAGGCTCGAGTTGCAGAGACGTTTATTGAACTGAACCTCTAAGGCTCCCTTCTCTAATAAGTCCTCCAGTAGATCAGATGAGCCATGCAAAGTTTTTGGAAGGGCTAAATACTGAAATCTGTTTTACAAGGGCAGAAGGAGGGGCAAACTTCCATTTGAATAGACTACCCTGGAAGCAAGAAAAACTACTCTAGTGGGCAGGATCGTGACAACCTGTAAAAAAGCCATGTGACCAGCCCATTCCCAAAGCTCAAGGCAGAGTAAAGCTTGGTCACGGAGAAACAAATGTCATTTTCTCATCTAACTTCCATACAATACTCACAAGATGAAATGACAATCCCAACAGACACATTTTAGAAAACTCACAGTTGAGAACTGTCAGCAATACCATACCAGAAAGTCATCAGGGAAGCCAATTCCTAGTGTGCTGCTGTGGGACGTAGCTTCAGTTACTACCCTTTCACTACAGACTTCGGGCGGCTGACCCTCTACACCTGACTGAAATTCATCCTCAAAGCTGTCTGCAATGGAAGTCTAGGAACTTGCATAATTTGTAATAAAATGCACCGGGGGCTTTAATTTTAAGGAAATTTTCATACAGACGAGGGAAATAACAACTAGCATACCCCAAATGGCTGGAAATTACAGCAATGAGTACTAAAAGATGGCCCAAACACAAAACAAGCTTCTCTGTGGATGTGGCTCAGTGGCAGCCAGTGACTTCAATCAGAGCATCTTTAATGACTTGTTTAGAATACTGTCAACAAATAGCATCAACCTGAGTAGAGTGCTGGAGGAGGTGTGGATGGAATCATGTCTCCAAAGGGCAAGATCCAAATTCAACTCTACTTAGTGATTACAGACTACCCCGCCTGCTGCTTAAAGGAGCTCTTCTGGTGAGACCACAGGCTCCTTCCTAGAAAGATGGTCAGTGAAGCTGATGCTCTGCCTATGAGAGAAGCCATAGCCTACTCACACCACCCATCCTAAAGTTCACCAAAGGGCCCTGCCTTCTCCCTCTGTGCTACAGAAGGCGCATTCTATTCCATAAGTTTAAATACTAACTCAAAACAACAGTCAAGCCTCAACAGAAGGTGATTGCTAGTTATCTTTGAACACTTCAGTTGCATGAACTTGACTAAACCTTTCAAATTCACCTTAAATTGGAATTCATGCAACTCTCCTGCCTCAGTTGAAAATAATTTGGCCTCTTTTCCTATAACCATTCATAATGCTAATCAATTATCACTTTGTTATTAATACAAACATTGATTCTTCATCATTTTGTCCTATTGGATAGTACTGGCAACCTAATAAAGACTTTCTGGAATGCTTAGTAAAACTTAAACAATCTCTTGCACCACAGAAACTGCCTGTAGTAAGCTAGTGAAAACACAAGCATATAACGTTGAAAATACTCAATAGTTAAAACATGCCTTTATAGCTTACTCAGTTGAAGCTGTCAGTTTTTAGTTGGAGGCCTAACACCAGTAAGGTCCAAATGACAGAAAACAGAAGCAAGCTCTTATGTTAACAATCAGCTTGACGACTGCAACCTAAGAAATGCAAATGAACTCCATAATCCCTTTGGGGGCTCACTGCTCAAATGCGAGTATGGGTAAAGTTGGGGGTGACTTGACTCATGGGGAGAACTTTGCCTATTTGGACACTTAACATACATCCAAGAGCTCAGTGATAGAGTATTAATGGACTTATCAAATACATCTAAATGCTTGCTTGCCTTACAAAAGTGTGTATGTGACTGTATTTGAGTGTCTACACATGCATACACAATCTTTTACATAGCTTTAAAGATATTATTACAAGAGTATAATTTGCCCTGGTAGGTTATTTCAAATACTGCACTTTTGTAGGAGATATATGGAAATGAACTGGGTAAAAATATATACGTAATTTTACTTAAGAAAAAGAATCAACCTCTGAAAAATCCTCCTTAATCTGTCACTATTCTATTTAAAACCCAAATGTTACTGCATAGTCTCACAACTTGGTTACACACATACCGTCAACCATTTACATCCTTTAGTATCAAGGCTTTACTACGTTTTACAACGTGTTTCCAAAGGGTGGGTGGGGGGCTCCTATAAAAATAGGTTGAGCTAACATCATACATCTGCATTTGGGTAAACATGCCCGGAATTTTTGCCTACTTTAAGGGAAGGGGTTAACACTCAATTCTCTTTCAGATATTGAACCGTGACCACTAAGCCCACTAAATCCTTTTATTGCAATTGGGAATGATCAAAGTCTCTCTCCTTGTTTATTTCCAATTATTAACTGTAAAGCTCTGGGGAAAAGATCATGCTCCAGCGCTGTCAAGTCCAAATGACTACGTAAACATAAGTAATCAATGCGTTAGTACTCCTTCCCCAAAGCATCCCCTTACTACATGACCTATGCTGACATTTAGCGAAATCTATAAAACATAGTGGACCTAAGTCACGAGTCTCTGCGCATCCCACAGAATGGGGGAAAGTTGTAGTGTCTTCGAAGGAAAAGAAGAAAAAGGGGGGGAAAGAAGTGGACAGAGAAAGGGAGCCTTCAGCAAGGCTAACGACCAGTCACCACCGTCTTCACGACAAAACAAAGCTCTAAATTTGAAATGCCCACCTCCTGGAGAGCTCGCCCCCAGTACGCATGGAACCCCCACCCAAGACTCCCAACAAATACCACCTTGAAAACTTTACCCTTTCCAACACAAATGCACAAGACCTTGGAAACAACTGGGAACCGCCATCTTACCAGCCATCCAATTTCACACAAGTGTCCCTCCAACTTAAGTTAATAACATTTTTGTCCGGGCTCCCCCCAGCCTAACACCCACCTCGTCGGGATCGCTGCCCCCCACAGTACCCGTCCCTATAAAATGGGGGCGTTCCCTGGAGGTTCAAAGACCTCCAGAGCCCTTTCTTCGGGAGAGGAGGGAAGCCACTGGACCCAGGCAGCGCCCGATCTCGGGATCCCGTCCCCATTTCAGCAAAGTCTACCTCTCAACAAAGGGCGCAGCGGCCGCGGGAGCCGCGCAGGCTGAAGACACAAGTGCCGCTCTCGGGGACCATGTGCGGCGCGAGGGTGCCGGGGGGCGCTCGGGGGAGCGGGGAACTAAAACGTGGGGCG